AGTTTTTAGTGTTCCCGAGGATTACCCTATTGGGGTCGTCTTTATGTTTTGTTCTAGTTTTGTGTTCCGAGGATTACCCTGTTGGGGTCGGCTCTAAACGGTCTGTTGACTGTCCTCTCATTTTTATTCAGCTATTGGTTGTTTGTATTTAGTCGTTGGCTGTTTGTATTCAGCCGGTGGCTGCTTCTTTTGCACATTTGTGCGTATTTATATACTTCATCTATCGTTTCGAAAAAAAAAAGAAATAATATAAATCATATGAACTGATAGTATCATAAAATAAAATTGTTAATATACATTCTATTTGACTAACAAAAAAATTACACACCTCCTATTTGCAGATGACTCTTTAGTCTTCTGTGAAGCATCATGTGATCAGAGCATTAAACTTCTGGATATTCTTGCTAAGTACAAAAACTTCACTGGTCAAACTGTCAACTTAAAGAAGTCTACTGCTTTTTTCAGTAAGAACACTCCTCTTATTTTGCAGCAACAGATTTGCAACATTCTTCATGGTATCTCTATCCACAGATCATCAAAATACTTAGGCATGCCCTTAGGCATTGGTAAATCTAAAAAAGATGTCTTTGATGTTGTTTTGATTGTTGTGAGGAAGAAGCTTCAAAACTGGAAAAACTCCTTTCTATCTACAGCTGGCAAAGAGGTGATGATCAAATTTGTCCTTAATGTTGTCCCTACATTCATTATGTTTGTTTTCTCCCTGCCCATTGGTATTTGTAAGGACATCTCCAAGCTGTGTGCTAACTTTTGGTGGAGTTCTAGTGAGTTACACAACAGAGGCATTCATTGGAAAAACTGGAGTTTGATGGCAACTCCTAAGGATTGGGGTGGACTTGGGTTCCAAGATGTTCAGCTCTTTAATGAAGCCATGGTTTTAAAACAAATCTGGAGACTCTTGACTATGCCCAACCTGCTTGTATCCAAACTTCTGAAAGCAAAATACTTCTCCAGGGGATCTGTTCTTGAAGCCCAAAGGACACACAACTCTTCCTGGATGTGGAACTACTAGATGACTATAAAAAACAAATACAAGCATTGTTTCACTAGAGTCATCAGAGATAAGCTGAACACCAGAATCTTGAAGGATCCTTGGTTACAAGATGTCAAGCATGGGACCCCCTGCTTCAAAGAAGACAACATACTCCACCCAACTATGGTTTCTGAGCTGGTAGAGGAAGGAGGGAGATGCTGGAATGTGGAGTTTATCAAAGAGCTTTTTGATGAATCTGTAGCTACTCAAATCCTTAAGATCAAATCTCTTGACCCTACAAAAAAAGACAGGTGGTCTTGGAATATGGATGCCACAGGTTTATACTCTGTAAAAAATGCTTACTCTGCCTTTGTCAAAACAAACTCCTCAAATTGGATAGAGCTGAAGGAAGTGGTTCAGCTGATAAGGACAAAAATGCCAGAACTAGGTGCTGGAAGTTGGATATCAAAGGCAAGCTTAAGCACTTTGTTTGGAAATGTTTCAGTGGCACTCTCTCAGTGGCTAGCAAGCTCAAGCAGAAAGGAGTTGTGACTGATGAGATTTGTAGCTGCTGTGGTGAAGATATTGAAAGCATTACTCACATTCTCTTTCATTGCAGTAAAGCTACAAAGGTGTGAAAGCTCTCAGCCTTAAACTAGGATTTTTGTGATGATAAAACCGGCTCTTTCACTGATTGGTGGTGGGGTATTTCTTCTCTTAACAAATCTGATATTTCTGAAGCCCGTATACAGCTTTCCACGTACATCCTGTGGTGGCTTTGGAAAACTCGAAACTTATGGGTCTTCAGGAAAGTATGGCTTCCTGAGAAGCTTATTGTGGACTATGCTTGACGGGAATGGATGGAATTCAAAAACCGTAGATGTTCCTTTTCTTGATCCTGGGTTGTTGATTGGAGTTTCTAGTTGATTAGGTCCTTTAAGTTCAGTTTTCAACTATGATCTCTAATGTTTGTTTGGTTTTGGTTATGCTTTTAGATTATAGGGCTCGAGTGCATCACTTTGCCTATAGTATTGTTTCTTTGTGGTTTGATTTTAGGGCACTTATGTTATAGTGTTTCTCCCTGTTTCTTGAACTGTATTCGTATCAGTTGATCCAACGATTTGTACCCTTGGTTTTATTTATGAGATTTCCTATCGTTTCGAAAAAAAAAAAATGACAAATTTAAGAATTAGAATAAGATCATGCACAAATATATAATTTGTTGGTTTATTCTGAAATAAATTTAAATAAATTTGTGCAAAATAAATATATAACAAGCCAAACTAATATAATATGAGCTTAAATATTTTTACTACTATATATTTAGAACACACAATAAAATTAAGATCAGGCTAGTGCCCGGGCAAGCCTACCCTTGGCTCCGCCTATGGTTGCTAGCCATTGAAGTGTAGTTTTGAAAGTAGAAAAATAAGAGCCTAATAATTTGCAAAAAAAAAAAAAAATGCTGTAAATAATGGGGCCTTAACAAGCTTGAAAAAAATAAATGCACCAGAATGCAAGCAAAAAGAAGAAGAAAAATTAAATGGTAGTAAATGCAAGCAGAAAGAAAAAGAATAAATGCTAAATGGTAGTAAGGTTTCTAGCAAAAAACATCAACATCTTGCATGTCTAATTTATGTGATATAAAAAAATCAATCAATGCGATAAGTAACTATGCGAATCATATGCTAAATATGCTTGCATATTGATAAATTATGCGAGGTTGATATGAATATGTCTAAGTTTTTTACGTGTAAACAATCCAACCGATGCATAAATTATGCAAAACATTTTAGTGGATATGCGATTCTTGATATGGATCAGCCAAAAACTAGTGGATTGTTCTGAATTATGTGACTTTCGATTTGGATATGCGAGTCGTGAATATGCAAACATGTTACACAAAATGGTTAGTTATGCGGGGTTATGGTTTTGGATATGCAAATCTTAAGCTATGCGAAACAATTTCGCATCAAATATTTGAAGTCTAATTTGAATATTTGATATATAAATATGCAAAATTTTTATGCATGTGGTAAATCTTGCGGTCCTTTTGGATATGAGATTCCAAAATATGTAAAAAAAAATTTTACATTGCTATTAACTATGTGTTCGATACGATTATAAATTGATATATATACGACAAAATGTTGCATAATTGTTAACAATACAATTCATTTGAATATGTGCTTTTTTACATTGCATATCATTACGTGAGTTTGGGATGAAAATATATTTTTTTTAATTAGATAATATATATAAAAAAAAAAGTACATATGTCTATTGGAACATAAAAATGTCAGCCCGAATGTAGGGGTGAGCATCGGTGCGGTTCGGCCAAAACTGTCCCGCACCGAAAAACCGAAAATTGATTTTTTTATTTTTTTTCACCGAACCGCACCGCTATAAAAGGAAAAACCGCACCGCATCGAACCGAAATTTTCGGATCGGTGCGGCGCGGTTTTTCAATTAACCGAAATTAAAAAATATAACCACCAATTAACGTTATTTAAGTAAAATTATAAAAATTAAGGTGATATTTTATTAAAAAAAATAAAAAAAGTGACATTTTATGACATTCGGTGCGGTTCGATTAAAACCGCACCCTGCGGACAGAAAACCGAACCGCACCGAAATACTTGCTGTTTTTCAAAACCCAAATCGCAATGATAACCAAGCTTATAAAAAACCACATCAAACCGCATCTAATAGCTCATTTCGGTGCAGTTTTGTGATTTTGGCTGGATTTTGCTCAACCCTAAAATGGGTCATCAAACTCAAAAGTCAAACCACGTGGTCTTCACCCTCGGGCACGCAGCTTTCCTCGCAAGTTTGATGCCCTCCACATGATATCCCTCTTCCGCACGCGTATTTATGTGGATTGAAAACAAACACTCGTCCCACAAATTCCAACACTTGTACATTTATTTATACTCCCTAAAATTATAACGATTTATTATTTTACTAGTACAACTCCCGTATATTACACGGGTGCTTGTTAAAAAATTATTCTTAAATTTTAAATTTAATGAGAAAACTATATTAAATTTAGTTTACTTTTTTACCAAAAAAATATATTACTATATATTTTAGAATGATATGTGTTACTTATGACTTACATGTGTTATATTATATTAGTTTTTATAACTTATATAATATAACTACTTGAAATATAAATATATTAGTTGATAAATAATTTTATTTTTCAAATTAATATTAAAAATAATTTTATTATTGTTATAAAGATAAATATAAATTATTTTTTTTATACATACAATATGAATGTTAAAGCGAAGCTCATCAAAAGAATATTAATTTGATATATTACATATATAAAATTGATAAAATATACAAAAGTTATTAACCTTTTAAATATATATACAATTCAATAGTTATAATAAGGAATGATATTAAAATGCAATTAATACATGTAACATGACCATAAATAATCAACATATTTATGGTAATCCGAACCTAATTATTTTTGGTTTGGAATTGAATTAAAATTTATCCAAACCTAATAACGAAGCATGTAATTTTGCCACATAGGATTTCGAAGCACCAGAAACAGTCACGTAGGCTCAGCGCGTTCTGGATTAATATATAGGGGGATAGGGGGATATGATAAAAAAAAAAAAGTAAATCCAGATAGGATTACAGAAAATAACACCCCATAAGTAAAAACTACATTTTCCAATTAAACTCAAAAAATAATTAAAAAAAAATCAAATACACCAAATTCTAATTTTTGATCCCGCCCAATTTATCGCCCCCTCAACAAAAATCAAATTTCAATTTCGAAATCACAAAAACAAAATGGCGCCAAATTAATCAATCGTCCCCAACAAGCTGAAATATTTCGAAAACCCCGCCCCGCCCTCTGTAAAATCCCAAAACCTCTTATTTATACCTCTCGCCGCCATCACCAACCCCAACACCAACACCACATCCATCTTCACCGTCTTCCTCCGATCAATCATCCAACAAACCCCAGCCGGAATTTCCCAAAATGCCGTCCATCCCCGAAGAGCCCCTCCTCGCTCCCAACCCCGACCGCTTCTGTATGTTCCCCATCCACTACCCTGAGGTGTGGGAGATGTACAAGAAGGCCGAGGCTTCCTTCTGGACGGCCGAGGAAGTCGATCTCTCCCAGGACCTCCGCCACTGGGAGTCCCTCACCCCCGACGAGCGCCACTTCATCAAGCACGTCCTCGCCTTCTTCGCTGCCTCCGATGGTATCGTCCTCGAGAACCTCGCCGGCCGTTTCATGAAGGAGGTCCAGATCTCGGAGGCCCGCGCCTTCTACGGCTTCCAGATCGCCATCGAAAACATTCACTCCGAGATGTACAGCCTGCTCCTCGAGTCCTACATCAAGGACTCTGCCGAGAAGAGCAACCTGTTCCGGGCCATCGAGACTGTCCCCTGCGTCGAGAGGAAGGCCAAGTGGGCCCTCCGCTGGATCGACGGATCTGAGTCCTTTGCCGAGCGCCTAATTGCCTTTGCCTGTGTTGAGGGGATCTTCTTCTCTGGTAGCTTTTGTGCTATATTCTGGTTGAAGAAGCGCGGGCTGATGCCGGGCCTGACCTTCTCCAATGAGCTGATCTCTCGGGATGAGGGTTTGCACTGTGATTTCGCGTGCTTGCTGTATAGCCTGCTGAGGGTGAAGCTGAGCGAGGAGAAGGTGAAGGCTTTGGTTGTGGAGGCGGTGGATATTGAGAGGGAGTTTGTGTGTGATGCGTTGCCCTGTGCGCTGGTGGGGATGAATGGGGAATTGATGAGCCAATACATTGAATTTGTTGCCGATAGGTTGTTGAATGCTTTGGGGTGTAAGAAAGTGTACAATGTGCAGAACCCATTTGATTGGATGGAGCTGATCAGCTTGCAGGGGAAGACCAACTTCTTTGAGAAGAGGGTTGGTGAGTATCAGAAGGCATCGGTTATGTCGAGCTTGAATGGGAGTATTGGGGACAATCATGTGTTCAAGTTGGATGAGGATTTCTGATGTGTTTGTTGTTCAGGTTTAGGGCTTTATAATAAGTATGCCTTTTTTTTTATTCCATTTTCTTATGTGTAGTTGTTTGATTTACTTTCTGCTCTTGGGGTTTCATGTGATGTAGGGATTTGAATATGATTTTCTTTGGTCATCTTTTATTCTGAAAACAGAAAATGAAGGAGAGAGTTGTTCAAATATGCAAATTTAATGTGCTATTGGTTATATGTTCATATACTTGGGACTTGTTTTGCATATTGGTGTGGCTTGTGTAATTTTTGTTGCCTGCTTTGGAAATTATACCTAGTCCTAGTGTTTTCAATAAGGCCTTTTGGCACAGTAAATCAGTAGGCCGACTATTTAATATTAGCAAATATTAATTGATATTTGGTATCTTGCATAATAGTATAATTGGCCTTGTTATGTATGATTTTGCGGATTTGAACTAACATGTTCATAGTGTTGATGTGGACATTGTAAGCGTTGTTTCTTTGACTAAAGATAAATCAGCATCCCACAACTCTCATCGGCAATCCATGCTTATCAAGGATACAGCGGCACAATTCGTGTCTGGTTACATTGGCACTCCGCATTTGCAACCAAATATTCGATGTCAACACTGATCACCAAAGCTTCATTGTGTCGATCATATCAATGACACAACTTTCTTCATATCGATGTCACCAATGGGTTGCTGCCCAACAACCCTATGCGACTTGTTCCCAAAAGGGGTTTGCTTCCATTAAGCATGATGCATGCAGTTGGCTCTTCTGACATGTGACACGTGTTTAATGACTCCAAGAAGCCATGATGATTTTTACTTTCTACCTAGTATAAATTGTAACACCTCCATAATTTTAAGGCATCGAAAAATCACAAAGCAAAATAACCAAAGATAAAAGCCTAAGAAAAACGTGCAAGCTTATAAAAGCAAGCATGAATTTCCTTGCAGGTTTCATTTCATTTGTCTTAATTACACAATTTTATTCGCTGAATGTTGATATTGCACGTCAACAAACTAGCGCTAGAAGGACTCACAATTGTGTTTGGCGAATCTCTTCTCCTTTGCTTACTTTTGTTTGTTCCTTATATCCACTACTTTTCTATTCATCATGTCAGTCATTCCACAATTCTAGTGATAATAATACTAACAACCAAGAAAATTGTACTCTGTAAATATGAATTAGATTTTTACAAACCTTTCCCAAGTCTTTCAAATTGCCTCCCCCGATAAATCCACTCACCAAAAAACATCTCAACCCATGCCTACACAAAAAAACTATTGCCCCCAACATTTAGCCTCTCGCATGAGGTGGACTCATGTGCCTTTCATGAGAACACCAAAGGGAAGGCTAAAGTTGTCATCTCTCACTCCCGAGAAGGCACAAGATAAAGCATGGGCCAGTCGGACGCTGGGTTTAGTACTACCAACCCATCGGTGTTTGACTGCCTCAACACCAACCCATCCCATCCTCCACCACAGCATTAACAAATCCAAACCTTCACCCAATAAGGAGGCTGTAAAGAGAGCGGTCCTACGGCAACGTATTGCCTATCTGGAGGTCCAAAAAAACTCGGGTCTCTAACAACCTTCTACTATCAATTTCCCTTCTTACCCTACTACATTCAATCTAGTACTTTTTGTCGATCTGAGCTCCCTCCTATCTCTACACATCTTGGCCAAGTTATTGCCCACCCAGGTTAAGATGTCTCAAATAGTTATTTACAATGGGTAATGGAGATTCATACTTCGATGCGCACCTGGGGCAATACACCCCATGGATGGACCAACATAGGACCAACGATGCACTTCGCCTCCGCACTATACTCGGTCGGACTGCGTTGTATAAATTTAAAGTTGCCAAGTCCATATATCATTATGCGTTAAGGTTCCCTACTCAAAATGCAGGATGGAACACACTAGGGATCAATAAGCTGCTCATGAATGTATCTTAGCCAACCTCTCACGAGAAATTTATTTTGATCAACTTACAAGAGACGATGGAACCACATCAGATTCTGGTTTGACTGATGATCAACCAGCCGATCAAGAAGATGACGAACTCGATCTCACTCGAGACTGAGAATGCCATTCGGGGAAGGACCCGATCTGCAAGTGAATTGATGACATCGACCTCGTCTACCTTTCGAGGAGAAACAAGCGATCTGAGCTCAACGTGCTGAGGAGGTGGAGCTCTTTTACGTGGACGAGCCACTGTACACCAAACAACTAGGAACCGATAAAAACCCCGAAGAACCATACCGGTCGCAGCTAATTTCACTCATCAAAGATAACTTAGATGTGTTTGCCTGGAGTCTTGAGGATATGAAGGGAATCGACCCTTACGTTTCTTTTCGTCGTCTCACTATTGACAAGACGGCGAAGCCCGTCGTCCAAAAAAGGCGTAAAATGGGGCCAGATCGACAAAAGTGGAGCAAGAAGTGAAGAAGCTGATCAACAACAAATCCGTTCGAGAGGCTCAGTATCTTAAGTGTGTAGTCAACCCCATCCTCGTGAAAAAGCAAATAGGCAATGAAAGATTTGTAGATTTTAGCGATGAAGTGAATAAGTTTCACCCGGGCTCCTTCAACTCGAACCGGCCTCCGTACCTGCAGAACCCAACGCCGGGGGTGGCCCCGGCGTCGGGCCTCCGATGCCTAAGTCAG